AATCAGGAGGTCAAGGATGAACTTGGCCTTCGGTAAAGTCCTGGGTACAAATCCAGATTGCAGAGATCTGAGTAGATACCTTATTAACAGTGGGACACTGTCCCTTCTAGACACTATAGGCTAGCAAAGTAAAAGCCCAATGTAAAGGACAGACACCCTCTTTTGGAGCTATTGACCAGGGGTCCCATAGACCCACAAATGATACTGGCCATTGCCCCTGCTCTTGGTTACCCACCAAAACTTGATCGTTAAGACCCTACTGCTGAAGATACTATATACATGAGCCATAGGAAAACAAAACAAAACAAAAAAAAAACAAGGAGAAATCAAGCTGGTGCAGACATCAAATCGAAGCTTCATCTCTACTGGCTAGCTTTCATAGCGGTAGGAAGTGTTATGCATGCTACCTGATGAGAAAATTAATCATTAGCCTTACTCAGCTGTGAATCCTGTGGGCTTTAGCAACTGGCCTGGAAAAATATGATCTCTGGTGCAATAGCGGCACAAATATTATGGGAGTAACCAACCACATTCTTATTGGATTTAAGATCTGCTTCACAGGACAAAACCGTACCTGACAAGGATATCAGGCCTAGGAACATGTGGCTTGACAGAGCACAGGCCATAGGGGAAAGCCTAATACTATTAGTCAGCTAAAGAGATACAGTATTAAAGTGACTCTTAATGATTTATTGTTATACCTACATAATAATGCATCTCTCAACTCTCAGCAGATAAGTTTCCTTATGTAGCAGACGGTGATTAACACAAAAACCAATAAGTGGCCAACATGCAGAGCATAAGAGGCTGCAGGGTGATTATCCATGAACTAACACCTATATTAAACTTCTGCCTCCAAAGGCTCAGGAAATATTTTAAAGAGGTGGCAGAAATATTTGTAAGAACCATAAGTGGTAGATGACCACAAGGAAACAGTTTTCTAGACAGCTGGGAAGTTACTCACATGGACTCACAGCAGTGGTGACATGCACAAGTCCCACGTAAGCTCAAGCAAGACAGAAGCCCAGCAGAGATGTGAGAAATAGGTAAGCAACACCAACCCTACCTGAGAAATTACTGGAAGCCAGTGGCCACTGGGAAGGGGAGAGTCAGTCTCTCATAAGGTTGTGACTCCTGGTATGTTAACCAAGCTCCAGTGGATGGAGCCACACCTAAGGACATTTGGGGACACAAATCTGACTCTATCGAGTACTTGAAATTGGATGGGGGTATTAAGGGAGGGTGCAGATAGGTGAGGGGATCTAAACATGATCAAATGTATTATATGAAATTCACAAAATTTCAATAAAAAATGTTCTTGATGTTTTAAAAAGTGTGGGCTCTGGATGTCAGAAGCCAACCAGTTTCCAGGTCACTGCTCCCCAGTGCAACACTACACTGCTGTTGAGAGCAGTACCCTCCACCAGCTCTCTGCAGCATCTATTCCCCCTTTGTACCTTCCAGCTACCAGTTGTTCTTTGAACCTGACAACCCCAGGTTTAGCCCCTCACCTTTCCCACATCTCACCAAGTAGTCCCTTCATTAAAGTATCACTTGAGCCACGTGGCAAGAATTCTGATTTCTGCTGGGACCCTAACATATACCATGTCCCTCATGCATGAGTCTTCCTGACCTCGAAACCACAGCCAAATAACTGGCTTTTTGTTTTGCTTTACGTCTGAGTAAAATTATAATATAATGAAAGTTATATACACTCCAAAATTACAAAACTTCACATGGCCTTTAATAAATCATTAAAGCTCACAAAGAAACCCACAAGCACAGCAAGGGGGCACCTTTGACACTGCACAGGCATCCCTGAGCACTTGGGTGCAACAGGCACTGTTCTAGGATTCCTGGATCCACCCTGGACAGGTAACATTCTCATAAACTAAAATCCAGGCTCCCAGGTTCAGGGGAACAAAATGTACTATAAGTGGGAGAAATTGCTAAAACCCCTGATCAAAAGTAAACCAAAATGAATGGATTCCTTCAGTGTTAACTGCCATTAACACTATTAAATATAGCCTAAGCTAAGTAACCCAGCTGCTGCTTTGTAGCAGGCTGGTGGAAGCACGTGATCAGTGAATAAACCAAAATAACTTTGATTCTAATTTTCAAATGAAGATCCCAGAAAACGTATGTGTTCACGGCTTCAATATCCACATTTCTCTACAATTACTTCAAGTTTGCGTATTTGTACCAGTGATACAAAATTCCTTTAACATAAACATAGTCTATGGTTACAGTGAGCAATCCTACCATTCCAGTTCAGCAGGCAGTCTAGGGGGTCCACAAACATATTCCCCAGAGTTTGAGAACATTCAGTGCTTCCACATACTGCTTAGTAATCAATATTTCCCATTTCAATCAATTTCAATATCTCCTGCTGTCAACCCAAGCCTAAAGTTCATCCCTAAATAAACATTTTTAAATGCATAGTATGGTAGGTGCTATGCTAGAAACCCTGGCTAGATAAAATGAATCTAGAAAGCCAGACGTGAGGGTATGTGTCCATAATCCTTGCACTAAGCAACTGTGGTAGGAAGATCACTTGAGTCAAGTTCAAAAACAGCCTGGCAAATAGTGACATCCATCTCAAAAGAATGAATGGATGGATGGATGAATGAATGAATGAATAAATGAATGAATGAATGAATCAGAAAATAGATGAAAAGGTACCTGTCCATAATCCTTGCACTAAGCAACTGTGGTAGGAAGATCACTTGAGTCAAGTTCAAGAACAGCCTGGCAAATAGTGACATCCATCTCAAAAGAATGAATGGATGGATGGATGAATGAATGAATGAATGAATAAATGAATGAATGAATGAATCAGAAAATAGATGAAAAGGTACCTGAGAGACAAGTTTATTACTAGCATGTCCGCTCCTGCTGCACACCAGAGCACAGCTTCTAAAATGATGGGTAGCAATCTCATATGTTAGATGAGGTCATGCAACTGAATGTGGAGGTAGAATTTTAAAAGGCAACAATAAAAGGTTCTGAACACACAAGGGCCAAAAATTAATTCAAACACAAATGCATAATGAATCCCAGGTGATGCCGCCTTGGCCCTTAACTGCAAATGCTGTCATGCCACACAATGGCATGTCTTGAAACACCTCAGTTCAGAGTCAAGATTATTGTATGTTATCAATTGCAGTGTTTTTACCATAGTAAGTTAATTCTCTAAATATAAACCATCCCCTATAGCTTTAAATGTTTGAACACCTGGTTCCCCAAGCTGGTGGAGCTGTTTTAGATAGTTTGGGAACCTTTAGGAAACCTTTAGGAAAGAGAGCCTTCTAGATGAAGTGGGTCACTAGGAGCTAGATATAAGGTTTGATGATGCACCCCTAGTTCCTGTCTACTCTTGGTTTCCTTTCAAGGAAGATATGAGCTGCCTGCCCCACCCCCATACTTCCCCTCCATCCTGGACTGTAAGCTCAGACAAGCTCTTCCTCCCTTAAGTTGCTTCCAGACAGGAATTTTGCAGACACTCTATACATTACAAAGTTTTCTGCTCTTATAAAAAGAAAATGGTTAATTACAGAAAACAAACAACATTTTCCTATGCATTCCTCAGAATGTAAAGATCCAATTAGTATTTATCTCTGGATTCTACTGTCAGAATTCTGATTTTTAAAACTGCTGTTTGAGTTGCTGATTTGAATTTCTAAAACATCATTAAATGAGGGGACTGGAGAGATGGCTCAGTGGTTAAGAGCACTGGGCTGCTCTTGCAGAGGACCAGGATTCAGTTCCCAGCACCCACAGGGCAGCTACCAACTGTCTGTAACTCCAGTTCCAGGGGATCCGATGCCCTCTTCTGACCTCCAACAGCATTGCACAACATGGGTGCACTGACGTTCATGCAAGCAATACACTCATACACACGAAATAAAATAATTTTTTGATCAATAAATGAATTTTATTTGGGAGTAGGACAAATTTTAAACAATTTATAAAACAGCCCTAACCATACCTCTATCATTTTGTATTATTTATATGAAGAAGTATTCTCAACACTGAGGATTATAAAATCAAAATACCTATCAGCTCTGGAAAACGTTGAAGATGCTCTATGTCCTGTTACTATTAAATACTTAGTCATGATTTAAGTCTTTATGTAAAAAGAAATAAGTGCATCCATTTCGTTATGCTTTCATCTTTAACAAGTGGTAAAATATACATATAAATTGTTCTAAAATAAATTTCTTTGTGATCTATTATTAGCAAATGCATAAGTTGTCTACCTATTTGATATACTTACATACCCAGGATCCTGTAAACATTTCTTTGGTGAAAAGGGATTGTGAATGACAAAAGTTTAAGAAGCCCTGTACAGCCTTTGCGAAATGTTTTGAATTTAACCTACTAGGTTAGTTATCTTTTAGAATGGTAATGGTTCCAATGTCCTACAGGAAATTAAATACTTGACAAGCATTGTTTCCACTTGGTCAGAAAACATTTAAGTAGCAAGCACACATCAGCTCTTTACCTTTCACCCTGCGAGCCACTTTTCACACTCAAGGAATCTGTCACCAGAGCCCGGGCCACCAGTGCTAGCCCTTATGGACCAAGTAGTGCTAGGTGCTGGGAGCTGAGTCCACGTGATGCCGGCTGCCCCCGGTTTTCTCAGCCCAGGGCACCCAAAGGGTCTAATGGAGGAGTGGCTGACTCGGAAACACACTCTAGCTGCTCCTCGGATCGGATCGGACCACCAAGACATCAAACTGAAACTCCTCATGCTCATCAGTATCGAGGTCTTCAGCAGACCAAGCGCTGCGCCCCGTCTCCCGGGACGAAGCCCGCGTAGGTCTACCCTGGGCTAGCCCGGGGGCCAGCTGGGGGCGGGGCGCGGACCAGGACCTCGGCGGGTCCCGGGCCGAGCGGCCCACAGCCCCGCGGCCTTCCCAGGTCCCCCAGCCGGAGCGTCGGTCGCCGCGTGGGTCCCCGCCGAACCCAGGCGCCCTCGGCTGGGAAGCGACACTCACCTCCAGTTTCCACCCGCGGCAGCGGCGTCCGGGTCGCGGAGACCCACCCCAGCTCCGGGCTGCAGCCACCAGTCGCGGGCAACACTTCCGCAAGCCGCGAGCGCCGAGCATGTCGATCCGCCGGCTAGTCGAGTGCAGAGCCCCGGATGGGCCCCGCCTCTACCAGAGAGCGGAAGGCGAAGGAAGGAAGAGCTAGAAGGTGGAAGCGGGGAGGGAGGGTAGACGAGGGGAAGGAGAGAGAAAAGGAAGGTGGGAGAGAAGAGAAGGGGGGAGGAAGGAGGGAGGGAGGGAATGGAGGGAAAAGGAAGATTGGAAAAGGGAGGGAGAGGAGCAGAAACGAAAAGAGAGGAGAGGAGAGGGGACAGGAGCGAAAAAACGAGAAGAGGAGAGGAGAGGAGGCGGAAGAGGGACCAAGGGAAGGGTGGGGAGGGAAAAATAGAGGGGCTAAAGAGGCTACAGTGGGTCAGGGACAGGTCGGGGGCAACCCCAGTCAAACGACTGCACCAGGCTAGGAGGGTTCACCATATTAGGGGACCCCAGAGGGTCATTGCTCTGGGGCACCAGCTGAAGGCCTGAGAGGCAAGTTGACTTGCAAACTCCCAAGACCCTGACTTTATAGAGGTGGCTTCCCTCTGCAGCCCGGAAGTCCTTCCTGAGGGTTGAATGGGCCCTGCTGTTGGGGTGCCCTGGCTCTGAAGATAACAAGATGAATAAAGACAGGCACTTCCCCTGTGACTCCCTGGCTGGGGAAAACCTGGGTGTGAGGAGTCTGCAGTAGTCCACAACCAAGGACGGTGGTCTGACAATGGGGGAGGCAGAAAATAGGTCAGCTTCAGGTTGTGTTGTTGGCTATGGAGAGAAATGGCTGCTGAGTATTAATCACTAGCATCTTTATCACAGACTGACAACAGCCTATACATATTGTTTTTCAAATAGCTTTATCAGCTGAATCTCCCACTTATTCAGTACATAGGTCCGTGGGGGAGGGTGATGTTTAGTACAGCTACTATGAGTCCAGAGACTTCATATGGCTTCATTTCTCTTCCTTTGGTCAGAATATGTAACAAGGTGTTTCCAGGACCATCCATTTTGAAGATCACTCTTTAAATGTGAGTTAGAGACTTGGCAGGAGAAATCCAAAGGAAATAACTGTGGAAAATCCCTGGCAGCCATGCACCCCTCCAAGGAAAACCAAACCCTTTGGGTCTCGGTGACATGCCATTTCTCAGGTTAGACAATCCTGGCATCAAAACCAGAGTGTATGGGTCTTGAGAACTCACAGGTTTTTCCTGGATCAAAAAATAATAATAAATAAGCCATACTACTGAAATTAAAACACCCAAAAGAGGAAAGAGACTCTTTTGTTAATATAAAGTATACTGGTACTGTTTTCTTTCTTTTTTTTCTCTCACATTTCTGGTCCTAATTCTAAAGTCAGCTAGCAAACACTGGTCCAGTGTATACAAAAGTTACCTGGAAACAAAGTCATTAAACCTAAAGTTGTAGGAGTAGCTGTTGGGGCAATTTGAAATCATGGTATAACCTTAGGTTTTCAGTGGTGCTTCAGATTTCATAGGAAGTAGAGAGAATTGTGAAGCCTCAATCCCTTTAACACAGTCTGAGGAAACCCTGAGAAACACCATTCTCTGTTCCTTGAATACTTCATTTATCCATTTTACATTATGTCAACACCGTAAGTGCTGTGCACTGCTTGGCATTTCAGTTTGAAATGGACCATAATTAGTATACAACCTAACCCTCAAAACGACTATTAATGTGCCATAACTTAAGGTTACTTTTTTACCAACTCACAGACTCCAGGCTCCTGGGTGGAGCATTTTGTCTTATTCATTATTACAGCAGACACTCCAGAACTCCACTTTTACAGTTACTCAGTACATCAGGCAGACCATCCACTAAAACCAGTAGCCACAGTCTGTAAACAGAATACTGTCTTTGTTTTCTTGTCCTTCTCCTAAACTTTGAGAGAAGGGATTTTGTGTGCTTCCCTCTTGCATCACATGAAGGAAACGCAAGATAAATACCTGTTGTATGAAAAGATGGAGTTTAAATACTCTTCATGGTAGCTGCAGACTGTGGGGAGAGACCAGTTTCCATTTGTCTGCTTCAAAATATGCTGCCTGGCCATACACACCACACCACACACACACACACACAGAGCAATATTTGATAAGTCTTGACAACGTAGTGATGGCTGACATGTTTCAGTATATACCACCAGCTTTGCCATCCTTTGTGTTTTAAACCATCAGTGGGGATTTGCAATCCTGCGAGGCTGCCACTATGCCAAGCTGCCATAGCGATTCCTGAGTCATGGTTCTTGCTTTAGGAAGCTCTTTGTCTCGTTAATTTTTTTCCTTGTTTCATTCTGTGCTCTGAGCAGATGCTTTTAATGCAGACTTAACCATCTTCATTTCTCATTGGTTTCTGATCTCTCCGACCAATTTTAGAGCAAAATAGAGCTCTGTGAGTTCTGTATTTGCTTGGAATTTGCATATTTCAATTTAAAAATTGTAAATAAACTTGGCTCTACACAAGAGGCATAGTGTTATTTTACCCCAACCATATGGCTATTGCTGCCATCCAGTGCAATAATGCAGATGTGTTGAACACCTGTGTTTACATCTGGCTGTCTCTGGTGGTAGGTTGTGTCGGTAGGTGGTCCACAGAGGAGTGAAGAAATTGAGGAAAGGCTCTCTCTGCCAAAGATATATGAGAGCCATATAATGAGGAGAAGAGGAACTGGGTCCGAATGTGGAAAGGGCTTAGCATCCCAGGAGGGTTCTCTCCAGTCCTTACTCTGTCCCCAGAGATCAGAAACAACCTAATTCTATGCTTTTGTATGAATAGGAATTAAGACTTCTTTATGTCCTAAGTGAAGGATTCCTAAGTGAGTGTAAGGTAGCATTGTAACTACTTTTAGTTTTGCTTATTTCGTTGTTTTTGTGGTCATTGTTTGGAGACAATCTCACACTGATGTTGCCCAGGCTGGCCTTAAACTCTCAATTCTTCTGCCTCTGCCTCTGCCTCTGCCTCCCAAGTGCTGGGAGTGCCCTGTCATGCCCAGCTTTTAATTTAGCTTAAATTGCTGGCTTTGAGAAGGTGGTGGTGGTGGTGGTGGTGTGTGTGGGGGGGTGTTGGAGGGACGGGGAGGGTCTTTGTTTTATTAGGTCTTTTGGAATTTTCAACCTGGAGATCTTTATACCTGGTTCAATTTGAACAAAAAAAAAAAAAATTGCATTTGGTCAGCAAAGTCAGTGGTCATGGAAAGACAGAAAATGGCACCATATTCCCAGTTTGTCCCATGGATGTGGTAGCACCCTGTGAAGATTAAGATTCAGGGCACAGTCACTGGCCTTTACTTCGTAGCTCAGCTCTCAAGGCATTTTATCTCCCTGAGAGCAGAAGTGTCAGCTCTGGTTTCTGTCTGTGTACAAGACTTGAACCATGCTACCCTTTCATACAGTCTGCCAGTCTGTCTTCAGATCTCATTCTTTAAAATTCCACTATGACAAAAATTTTATCCCAGTCCATAAACGCAGGTTCCTTAACATCCGTATTCAGTAGAATTCTCCAAAATTGTTCACTCAGAAGTGCGTCTCTCATGGGGATTAAGCTCTGTTTCTCAAGGCTGTGACAGGACACCAGCACTGTTGCTCAGCACCTGAGCAATTTTGTGAAAAGGCAGCTGTATCCTGACCACTCGGGATGTCTTTGTCCTCAGGTACTCACCCTGCACCCACAGGGAGCAGCCTCTTGCCGGTTTGTCTTTACACTTTCTGGGGTCCTCAGACATAAAGAGCACATACATAGTCAATGCCAAGCAAAGTTTCTGCCCCATCACACTTTTGTGAAGACCTGAACCTTTGTTCTTCCTGACTGAATCTTTGTAACAAACACACACATGTAGCCAATAGAACTGAGGAACCTTTTATTTTTCACTCCTAGTGAAAAACACTAAAAATGTTCAACAGAGAAATACTGCAAGTAAAGAAACAAATATAACCATAGCCCCTGAAAGAAGCAGGAGTTGACTGTAAGATTGTTGGTTAAAAGAAAAAAAAAAAGAACATTGAAAATCCAAAACCACATTCCGGATCCTACGTCGCATTAACTTTGACTCTTTGACCTCTTGAGTGTTCCAGTTATCTAATTTTTTAAATTAGGTGGTTGGATAGGAGAAAACCTGACGTGCTTTGACCTCTGTAATCCCATGGGCAATTTTCAGTGACTGCTACTCTGCCCTAAGTTTTGGCTGAGCTGCATGACCCCCTCTTCCATTTGGCCATCTGCACAGAGTGGGCCATATGGGTGGTGTTAGCGCAGTTTTTCCAAATAATTCTCTATGTCAGTGGTAGTGGATTAATTATTCTGCTGTTCAATTAAAGGGTGGGGTTTCACCCAGATGCTTTGCTCTTTGAATTGGTTACCTATAATGCAGTCCATTTTAAGCAGAACTTTGAGGTGGCTCCCTCCAACCTTAAGGCAGATTGGTGGCCCTTTTCTGTTTCCATAATCCTTTGCTCCTTGGTACTCAATCACTTCCACACCTTCCCTTTGTCCTCCCCCACTGTAAATAATTACTTTACTAAGGTACAGTCATGAAAGGCAGATTTGTGAAGGTTAGCTATGAAATAAGTAATAAAAAGAAAACTACAAAGATAAATATGTGAGTTGTGTTTTCAATTTTTCATTTTTATTAAATTTCTACTTTCCAATTAGGTAATTCTTTTAATGCTTGGCCACAGACCCTGGACTATGGGTCTGTTGATTTACATTATCATTACATTTTGTGTATATTTAATGTGATATGGATTCATTCCACCAAGAGATTAGAAACTTAGATAAATGCATAGGCATGAATGATGTTCTTGTTCAGATAAACAATACTTTTTCAGGACCCTATGGGACATGTGAGGATTCCTGTAAGTTTTTTTTTTTTTTAAGAACAAATGGGCATTATCTCAGTAATTATGTAATTAAAATTATACCTTAGAAAGTTATATACCCTTGATGGCCGCTAAGCCTTTTTGAAGACTTCATTTTGTAAGGGAAAAATGTGATTGCTGTGTGTTCTTCATGTCATTTTGTGTTTTGAGTCTGTTTATA